TGGTCACCCTTGCTGTTTGGAATCCAGTCTTTGATCATACTTGTGTGAGGGAATCAAGGTAGCATCTCCTTTAAAGGGAACAAGCTTGAATTTTCATATCATGAATCACTGTCAGGTTATTAAAGACACAATGACTTGAAAAACAAAAAACTGATATCTGCTTCCCTGCTAGTCAATATAGACAAGCTTCATCAAAATGTTCAGAATTTCAGAAGAGTAAAAGGTTAACTTCTTAGACAAGAGGAGAAAGGAATGAATGTGTATTATGATCATTCTTGTCCAGATGAGAGCATGTTTTGAAAGACTTCCAGATGTGGAGTTTGGGCCCAAGAACCAACAGACAATACAGCAGAGAGTCATCAGTGCTTTCTGAATCACCTCCAACTGAATGGCATCTGAGAATTTGTATAACAAAGAGACACAGTCTGGAGCTGCTGCCCAGGTGGCACACAATGCACTATTGATCAGGGGGAAACACATTTGCATTTTCCTTTATAACCCACGTTTACTCTGTCCACCACTGCCCATATCTGACACCCACTGGTTCAGCATACTAATGCTGCCCTCTTCATGCATATTCTCCGTGTGTTGGACTGCAGCTGAGGACATGATTACAATGAATTTCCTATTTCTAGATCGGCTCACATGCTGTATCATTTTTCTTCATTGATAGAGTTAACATAAATGTTTAATTGGCTGGGTCGTACTCTAGGGGAAATAAATTTGCTCAAAACCTGTTAAACAAAAGGGAAAAATGCTTGACCAAGTAGATTTGTTAACTTGGAAAGAAATTTCTTCTTGATGAATTTTTTAAAATTATTTTTTTAATCTGTTTGCAGCCTTCCTAAATCACTAACAGTTTGGGCAAATGACTTTTGCTCACACCAGATAGTTAAAGACATTTAAGCCAATGGCATTTGGTGAATCAGGGAGAAAGTGAGTCTGCAGCTCTGTTCAGTCAAGAGAAAGATGTGAGTGTATCCTCTTCCCATGAAAACTAAAGCAGTGCTACAATTGGGAGCTCATATCCTGAGCCTACCTGAGGGCCTAATACAGGAGCATGACTGAATATCAAGGACTTTCAAAAAAGGCCAAGGTAGGCATACTTCTGATTTCAGAATCACAGAGTAAAGATTGTGTTTTCCCTTCTGCTTTTTAAAAATCAGTCGCTTCTAAAAGCAACTAGGAGACTTGGAAACAGAAATGTAAACTCTATCTTAAACAAAACTAAGAGTGACAGTACATGAGGAAGAACTAACAAAGGCAGTGAAAGTCAAAGAGGGAAGACAGAGAACACTCAGGGCTGAAGACTGCAGCCCCAGCCAGGGGTCCAAAGTGAGTGACTCACTCTGAAGGGTAAAACCACCCATTTCACATGGAACTCCAGAAACTGGCACACTGGCTGTTAGCAGGGCTTCCATGGCCCAGTTTGGCAGAGAAGAAAGACATGAATGTTGACCTATAAGGAAACAGACTGATTCCTGGTTCCTCAACTTTGTTCCCTGGAATCACATTCCCTAATAAGTAATACTGAGGGCAGTAGTGGTTCAGTGGTAGAATTCTCGCCTTCCATGTGGGAGACCAGGGTTCTATTCCCAGCCAATGTACATCAAGCACAGCCATTACTACTCTGTCAGTGGAGGCTTGTGTGTTGCTATGATTCTGAACAGGTTTCAGTGGAGCTTCCAGATTAAGACGGACTAGTAAGAGAGGCCTGGTGATCTACTTCTGAAAAAATGAGCCAGTGAAAACCCTACGATCAAAATGGTCCCACCCACACCGGTCATGGGGTGGCACAAGATAGGACACCGCTTTGTTCCACTGTGCATATAGGGTCACTGTGAGTAGGGAGCTGACTTGATAGCAGCTAACAACAACAATATAGTAATAACATAATTTCTTTGCCTCAGGCTGTACTTTTTGAGGATCTAGGCTATGAGAGTAAGGCTTGGGTTTTCGTGGTCATGTAGGGTCAGGAAATGAAAACTTCGGCCCAAGGAAGATAGGAGATG